TGAGCACATACACACTTGGGAGAGACTCTGCAGCACATCCTTGGCTGAGCAGATCAGAGGTTCCACTTCCCACCCTTGGAAACTTCATGAGGGGAAGATGTTCAAACATCCCTTCAGTCCAGTAAGTCCTCTTAGAGAACCGTGGTTGTAATAGATCTACAGAAAGAGATGGATGATTCAAAAGCAGTCTCTTCAAAGTAAGACATCAGTCTTCTCTTGGGGCCTAGAGTACCAAATCACATCAGGACAACACAAGGAGAGTCCTTGGCTCCTTTAGATTGTAAGCAGATGTGTTATCTGGTGCCTCCTGCTTGAGGAAATGCAATGTTTGCAATCTTCACATGCTCACGTCATCACAGAAGTATACTCAAGAGACATCCCCAAAGGCAGTAGTTTTCTCACTTCCGTTGTTGGCATTCCTACTTTCCTGCTTCCCACCTTCTGTGTTGTTCTCGTCCAGGAGTGACTTTGCCTCCACAGATCTGACCTTTGTTGCTTCCTGAGGCCATTCTCACAGAGCTCTAACTTTCTGCGTGGTTTTCTACCAACTGGAGTTGACCTAGTGATGTCCGGCAATAACAGTGTACAGTGCTCTTCCCAGATGGCATTTATTCTTTAAAAACTTTTGTTGATGTTCACAAGGTGAAGAAATGACGACTGTGGGCCACACCAAGTAGGAGGTTAGGCCCATAGTAGGCCCCACACAAATCGTGTCATGGGTTCTCATTCCTACAAAGATTCCTGGATTCTAAAGCTCTTTTTTTTTCAAAAGATGGTCCCTGTGTGCTATTCCTCCTTTCAATCCAATTCAGCAAAAGTCTTGCAAGTGGTCACAGAACCACGTGCTTAACACATCACCGAGCCAGGGGCTGTGGAGGGATTAAAGAAGCGTGCCTCGGCCGAGGCACCCGCTGGTGCAGGTGAGACTCCACTACACGTGACACAGCCACAACGCAGCAGGATCAAACTCGTAATTGGGCAGTAAACTCTGGGGCAGAGCTGACAATACTGCACACGTTCAAAGAGGGATAAATCATTGTGAATGGCTATTCTGGAGGACTGAGTGGGTTCAGAGTGAGCAGGCAGAAGGGGAACGCCATTCAGGGTATGGAAAATGTGCTGGGATGTTGGAGGCATCAGAGCTAACCTAAAGGTGATGCTCTGAGCTATCTCTAAGTACCGAGTAAAAGGCTGCCTCTTTTGCATTTTGTTCTGCATCCTTGGATGACCCCTAAGGGAAAGGTGAGACAAGATGCCATTTGCTCATGAGCAGGCCGTCAGCAGTCAGTGCTGGTCATCTCAAAGCCTGGTTCTCCAGGCACAGCATGAGCAAATGTCTGTCAGAAACTTGGGAAGTGAAATATCTCCAAATGATCAAGTGCCCAAAGTCAAGGTTCAGTCCTGGGTAGACCAGTCAGCTCTGCCTGTTTCACGACATCAGTCTGCGGCACTAACCTCAGGCCACCTGTTCTATGTTAGTCATAAGCCTGAACAAGAGCATAAATGGATTATGACGAATCTGCTACCACCATTAAAAAATCCACAGTTCAATACTGGCTGTGTTTCCTGATGTTGTGTTGGCAATCTCAAAGCTTTTTTTCTTTTTTGTCAGTTTGTTTTTGTTTTTATAGAGCACATCATTAAAATATACTCACAACAGCAGAAGAGCGTAGTGGCTGTGTGTAGGCAAGAGGCAAACTGCCTGGGTTAAAAATCCCAGCTCTTCTCTTAGCTGCATGACTTTTGGACAAGCTCCTTGATGTCATTGTGCCTCGGGTTTTTTTTTTTTTAATTTGAAAAATGAAGATGATGATGGTAATATTTCTGTAAGATTATTTTGAGGAATAAATGAGAAACTATATGTAAAAGGAATAGAAGAATGCCTTGGTGTATATATATATGGGGCATGCAATAAATGCCAGGTCATCACTGTGATGATGGTCATTATTCACCCTGAATGGACCTTAGAGGGCGTCAAGTTACATAATGCAATTTTACAAATAAAGAAACTCGGTTCTCAAGAGGTCAAGTAACTTTCTGACAATCATTGGTAAAATGGGTGCTAGAACCCTTGGCTCCCCACTCGTAAAAAATACAATGTGCATTTATGTGTTATCTGACTCACGGACAGAGCACACTGACACACATTGTTCCCCAAACGCTCCCTGTTACCCCACGTGGCCTATCCAAACTGAATGGCTCGAACATTTTTCAGGCACCCGAGGATGCAAGCTGCACAGGGAACGATTCTCGGTGAGTTCCGGAAAGCAGTACTTGTGTAATGAGATGAGGGAAGGGCATGGAGAGGGCATGTCCCAACAGTGCAGCAGACAAATGGGAGGCCTTTAGTGCTGTGGCACAGTTATGCTGCATTATTAATTTGATGCTGTGTTAAATTAGCCGTTCTGATGAGCAGTGGAGAGCGTCCCTTCAGAGGGAGGTGTGCTACACTCCATGAGCCCAATTGTCCCAACAGGCTGTCAGGACAGTGCCTGTTTCTCTTGGATGATTAGGAGTGGGTGGCTGCGATGCCACTAGGCTGGCTGCATTTCTTCTTCCTTGAAGAGCTTAGTCTGACCTAGACCTGCAACATGCTTGTCTTTGGTCCCTTGAAACCTCCCTCTCCCTCCACCTTTGTCCCCTGCCTGAATTGGCCCACCTCCACCAGTGACTAACAGGCTGGTGTGCCACAGTCATCCGCTTGGGGGTGTCCTTTTGATGGAGTGTACCTGTCTCATACAGGCATCAAACTCCTTTAACAATTCTGTTTCTCTTGAGGCAAGATAGAGAAGAGTAGGTCTTACCAGAACTTCCTCGAGGGAGACCATTGTGTGTTGTCTGATAAGTCATTTAAGTTGATGGGATGAGACTTCAAAGTTATATTAAGTAATAGCAGCCTGATGGGGTATTCAGATTAGGGGCAGAATTATGTGGGACACTAGAGGAACAAAAGGCTGCCTCTAGGTGTGGGAATCCCGTGTGAGGACCACAGTAGGAGTGGAGGAGGAGACATATCTGGTAAGAAGACGATGCATTTTGCTGTGGGGATGGGGTGAAATAGAAACCCTCCTTTCTGTTTTTCTTATGATTCTTCAGTAAAATCTGTTAACAAACATGAACTGGACTTCTTTTGAAAAACAATGAAGGAGCCGATGTTGACATACAATCTGGTAAAGACAAGACAAAGGCAGGCTGAATGGTTGGTGGGAATAAGAGGGCAGGAGGGAAGCTGAAAAAAAAAAAGTGCTGAGCTACCCAGTGATGACCTGAACAGCAGAAGAATTCTTCTTTCTACCAATAACTAGCTGATCCTAGGTAGGAATGGCCATCCTTCAACCTCTCTAATTTTGGAAACATTTTTCTTCTTTTTGTTCATGAGGTGTATGTTATAGGCTGAGTTGGGTCCTTCCAAAATGCACAGGTTGAGGCCTTAATCCCCAGTGTGACAGTGTGCAGGTAGGAACATGGGGGAGATAATTAAGGTTAAATGAGATCGTAGGAGGGGGGCCCTAATCTGATGAGACTGGTGTTCTTGTAAGCAAAGAGTTCTCTCTGCACACCCAGAGGAAAGGCCATGAGAGGATACAGTGAGAAGGCATCTGTCTACAAGCCAGCTGTAGACAGGGGGCCCCCTCCCCAAACCAGCCCCCCTGGCAGCTTGATCTTGGACTTCCTTCCAGCCTCCAGAACTGTAAGGAAATCAATTTCTATTGTTTAAGCCACAAAGTCTGCTATTTTGTTATGGCAGCCCGAGCAGACTAGTACAATGTGCTTATTCCATGAAAAGAACACCCTCTTCCTCACTGTTGGATATGGCTTTATATTATATTTGCTTATTCTTTTACCTAGACTACTGTACCAGTCAGTGTCCCTGCCTCTCCTGGAAACCAGACAATTTGTTACATGAGCCGGTGGACAGGGCTGGCGTTCAAATGTGCTATGGTTCTACTATTCCTCAGTGTCTGTATCAGATTGCCACCAGAGGAGCATGTGTAAGTATGTGTGTATGTGTGTATATGCATGTGTGTATGTGTATATATTAATCATGTATATGATTAATTACAGGGCACAGGCTTAGGGTTGTAGGAGCTGGATTCATCAGCCTGAAGTCCACAAGGCAGGCAGTCAGGAAGGAAAAGGAGAGCAAGTGTAGCTCCAGCTGCTTCTTCACACCAGTGAGGTGGGTCACTAGATGGGCAGCAATGAGGTGAGTGTAGAGATCTCAGAATTTGGAAATATTTTACTGTTTATTTTCTCCTCTACTGCTTGGAATCTTTGCTGTTCACAGAGGGCTTTAAAGGGATTTCACCTAATTAAGTCAGGCCCATCCAGGATAGTCTCTTTCTTGATTAACTCAGAATCAACTGATTTGGGAATTTAATTGCACCTGGAAAACCCTTTCACTGCAGTATT